CCTAGATCGACTAAAAAACAAACGACACCACCCCACCTACGGCCCTCCGTGTTGCGCTACTGCCCATCGGGGGCCGTAGCGTGTGCCACGCAAAAGCCCACATCAGAGTTCCTGGTACACGATAAGCCCCGCGGGGCCGTAGGTGGGTGGTGTCGTTTGTTTCCTGGCCCACCTGGCGGGGCACATCCTGGGCCCAGCATCGGTGCTCTCCGCCCTCCTGGCTTGGCAAGAGAGGCACGTGCGCCGACCTGGGGCGGCCAGGATGGGCCTGCCCAGTGGCGGCGCACATGTATAGACTTCGTCGTCCTACGCATGCGGTGCCTCCATCTGCGGCTGTGGCACCGCGCCCCGGCGCCGCCTGGAAGGCGCGTGACCCTTTTGGACACTCCTCTTGATTCTGATGATCTGGACCTGGTGATGCCAGTGCACGCCGCTCCAGAGAAGTCCGACGCCCAGTCATGCACGACAGGAGCTATGGAACGAGCGAGACTACTTTTGCCGTGAGCTGATGGCGCACTTCGTACAGCGATCATCTCGGACTGCGCCCAGAAACACAAGTAGAGCATGTAAACCATAATGACAAACAACAAATGAACGCATGCAAGATCGCACGCGAACTATATCTTCACGGATGATTCGGCAGGAGCGCAGGCCGCTTTAGGCAGGCGTCCGAGGCTGTCAAGTCCCGCGTGCCGTTTAGGGCCGCGGGCCTGGCCACATTCGGTCAGAGTTTCCCACCAGCTTCAGGACGCATTCCGAGCAGATATGATCGCGATTCAAAAAACGACTTCATCCCGCGGGGCTAGGACCAGGATGAATCGTTCCAGAGCGCTCTGGAACGCTCTCAGAGCGTCCGAGAGCGTTCTGGAACGGCGGCCGCGGCGGCCGATACATTTTCCAGAACTGCCGGGTCTCAGAGATCCCCGATTTAGTCCTGCTCCGATTTTGTTCCAGGCTTGGCTTCGTCCTCCCCCAAGCGATCCCAGGGCACGATGAAATCAGAGTGCGGGAAGCCAGGCGGTCGTCTCGCTTCGCTCCTGCGCGCGCGTGGCTGGAAGGGGACGTGGCGCGCACGGAGAGCGTGCGGGGAGGGCCCGCGCGGAGGGCGCGCTGGGGGCGGGGGGCGGCGCGTGGGCGTGCGAGGGGATGCTTTTGCCCCCCTCGCTCTCGTTCGCACTTGCGGGGTGATCGAACTAATCACGTGGTTGCAGGCATCTAGGCCTCGCAGATGGGGTCGGAGGATTGCGCCGCCTCGCCGAGGCATCGCCGATGCATCGCCGATGCGGAGCCCGATTTTCTCCACGACGATGGCGCAGGCGCATTCGGCAATGCATCGGCGATACGGCGCGATGCTCCGACCCCATCTACTCGGACCCTATCTAGGAGGCCTCTAAAGCGGCTGGGATCACGATGGTAGTCCGGCTGGCTTGGCTGGCCGAAGAAGGAGGAGGAGGAGGAGGAGGAGGAGGAAGAGGGCGTTTTTTCCTTAGCAGCTGGTCTGTGAAGGGTTCTGCTGCACTTACCTCGTAAGAAGGGCCGAGGGGGGGGGGGGCTGCTGCCCGCCCGGGAACCGGAAGGCCTGATGGTCTCCCGTACGTGCGGTGTCCCGTATGTGGCCTCCGGTATGCGGTCTTCCGGGGGGGGGGGGAGGGGCCGCTGCTGGCCCTGGAAGCGGCGACCTGATGGTCTCCCGCATGGTATCCCGTGTGGTCTCGAGTGTGGTCTCCCCGTGTGGCCTCCCGTACGGTCTCGCGCATGGGGTCCCGTGTGGTCTCCCGCATGGTTTCCCAGATGGTTTCCCGCATGGCCACTCGTACAGTCTCCCGTGTAGTATAGCGTCCCGCATGGTCGTTCGACTGGTCCCCCGTACAGTCTCTCGCATGGGGTCCCCGATGGTCTCTTGTATGGCCTCCCGCATGGTCTCCCGTGTCTGCCGTACGTTCTCCCTCAATATCTCCCGCCTGGTCTCCCGTGCAGTCTCCCGTCTGGCTTTCTGTGTGGTCTCCCCGTGTGGCCTCCCCTACGGTCTCCTGTGTGGTCTCCCGTGTGGTCTCCCAACACGGTCTCCCGTGTGGCCTCCCGGTCGGTCTCCCGTATGATGTCTGGCCTGATCTCTTTCCCGTAAGGTCTCCCGTATGGTCTCCGTCTGGCCACCTCTATGTTCAGCCGTATGGTTTCCCGTATGTGCAATACAGTCTGGTGCTTTCCTCTCTTCGCTGATCAGGTATGCCGTTTAGGGCATTCTTGTCGCCAGCGTGTAATTTGAGGCCTGCGCCATGACGCGCGTTCTGGCCCCTCCCCCCCTCCCCAAGACAGAACGGCCCCCTTCCCTCAGCGTAACGGTCCCACGCTGGGGGCAGTGTGGAGCATCCTTTCAACCGTCGAGGGCGGCTGGGCTGGCCTGACCGGGCTGGCGGGGCTGATTGGGCTGGCTTGTCTGGCGTGGCTGGCTGGTCCGGCTGGTTGGGCCAGCTGGCCTGGCTAGGCTGTCTGGGATGGCTCGGTGGGCTGGCCCGGCGGGCCCGATTCCTTGAGTAAGGATTCTTTGGTAAGGATTCCTTTACTAATGATTATGTCAATGAGGATTCGTCTAGTCAGGAATCATTCCGTAAGGATTGCGCCACTCAGGATTATTTCAGGCATGATTCTTTTAGGACGGATTCCTCCAGCAATGAATCCGTAGTCATCCCCCCTCTCTCCATACACACACATACATATACCTATACGTCCACCCTTCGGGTGATAAGGAGGTTGTGGGGGGGGGAGAGAGGGGGGAACCAACATCTGACTCAATCGATCTCACTATCGATCTCACTCAACGGGACACCACGGGACACCACGGGACACCACGGGACACCACGGGACACTTGTCGATCTCATTATCTCTCACTATCGATCTCACTCAACGGGACACCACGGGCCAGCACGGGACACCACGGGACACCGCGGGACACCTCTCGATCTCACTATCGGTCTCACTATCGGTCTCACTATCGATCTCACTATCGATCTCACTCAGCGGGACACCATAGGACACCACGGGACACCTCGGGGCACCACATCGATCTCAGTATCGATCTCACTCAACGGGACACTACGGGACACCTCGGGACACCCGTCGATCTCACTATCGATCTCACTATAGATCTCACTCAGCGGGACACCTCGGGGGAGAGAGGGGGGAACCAACATCTGACTCAATCGATCTCACTATCGATCTCACCCAACGGGACACCACGGGACACCACGGGACACCACGGGACACCACGGGACACCTGTCGATCTCACTATCGACCTCACTATCGATCTTACTCAGCGGGACCACGGGACACCTCGGGGCACCACATCGATCTCAGTATCGATCTCACTATCGATCTCACGATCGATCTCACTCAACGGGACACCACGGGACACCACGGGACACCACGGGACACCGGCGGGACACCGCGCGACACCGGCCGCCAGAGGAGGAACATTTGGTCCGGCCGCGGCCCAGCCACAGGAGGATTTCGGGACACCCGCGGGACACCGGCGGGACACCGCGCGGCACCTGCCGCCAGAGGAGGAACATTTGGTTCGGCCGCGGCCCAGCCACAAAAGGTTTTTCCTTTCGCCCGCCCACGCAGCTTTGCCTCGCCCGCACGCATGCACGGCACGCACGACACGAACCCGAAACCGAAATCGATTTCACGGTAGGGGGGGTCTCCGTTTCACGTCGGACTCATTTCCCAACCTCCGATACGAATCTACATATTTGTACATGCCTACGCATCAGATCCCCCACACAGTGAAGACATACGAACGCCTGAGAGAGACACGTGCAAACACGCAGTTGGTGCAACCAGCCCGTTGGGTACTCCTACAATAACTACTACTACTACTACTACTGCTACTACTGCTACTACTTTTACTACCAGTACTACTACTACTATTATTATTATTATTACTACTACTACTACTTTTACTACTACTACTACTACTACTACTACTACTACTACTACTACTACTACTTTTACTACTACTACTGCTGCTGCTACTACTACTACTACTATCACTACTACTACTACGACTACGACTACGACTGCTACTACTACTGCTATTATTATTATTGTTATTGTTTTTTACTATTGTTCGTATTTGTATTCTTGTTTTTTTACTAATGCTGCTGCTAGTACTACTGCTAGCATTATTGCGATTACTATTTGTATTAGTCGCACTACTACTTCCACCGCTACTACTTTTTTGTTTTACTACTACAGCTACTATTATTACTAGTACTACTTCTACTACTATGGCTACTTTTCTTCTCCGTCTTCATCCTCCAGCTGTCACTGATATTGCGAGCACTATCGCGTGTGTTACTACCTACTCGTTCTACGACTACAACTTCTATTACCACGTTTTACAACCACTGTACGCTACACTATCATTGGTCTTGCTTTCGTTCCTACTGCAAAAGCGATAATCATAGTATTTCCATGATGACTAGTCCTGCTAGTACTACTGCTGCGGCTACGACTACTACTGCGTCCAGTCTGTCAAATCCATTCTGTTAAAATGAACACTATTCGAGAGTTTCTCCCCTACATAATCATCACTCGTCCGCCCGAGCCATGATTCTGCGTAGGAAGGATCCGCGCGTCATTGCGCCTGTTGCGGTGTGTTTTTAAGTTCCGAGAGGGAACTGCACTCACGGCCTCTCGAGTATTGCCAGCAAGTTGCTGGTGGGTGGGTGGAAAATTTGCTCGAGTGTTGGACTTGGCGTTTTCAATCTTTTCAAATTACTTGCACTTCGTAGACTGTGCCACGTAGATCGCTCCACATGGACTGCACCACATAATGTTTGGCAGCGCAGGATTCAGTCTGCCTTGCACGTGTATATATATATATATATATATATTTACAGATATTGTACATGGAGAGTGCAAGAAACTTCTGTTTGGGATGCGCGCCGGCAAACATGACGTTGTTCTTCGTCCGCTGAACCTCACGCCCCCGAGGATCTCAGCCCTGACGCGGCGACGCGGATCACCAACCAGATGCGCAGGGACTTGAGCCCCGCGCTCAACGCTGTCTGGAAGTGCTGAGCTTCGGCTCGCTGAGCGTCGACTCGTTCACAAACGAGGGCTTTTTTTTTGCGAGCTTCCCAGGCCTCCAGCGCTTACGAAACGGCACGAAGAGCATCTTGATGCTTTCGTCGTTCTGGTGCCTGCTGGGGTGTCTTTGCGGACGCGGCTGGAGGCAGCTCGAGAAACTTGTAAGGATAGCGCCTGGGAGGGTCCAGAGATTGATTTTCGGGTGAGGACGATGGGCCGACCTAGACCTAAGGGCGTTGCAGGCAACATTGGGACGGGCGTTTCTTCCACAAACTCGCAGCTTAAATACCGACCCGCGTCGAACGACCGGCCCCGGCGACACGGTCGAGAGCTCTTAGGGAGGACCAAACTGGGGACGAGCAAATTGGGACGACACCCAGCGGAGGTTCTCGTGGGGTTCTTTCGTGGGGTTTTCGTTTTCTCTGGGCACCCCGCGAAGACCTCACACCTCACACCCCCTCTCTTCCTCACACCATCGTTCACTCACTCACTCACACACTCAAACGCTCTCACTCATCATCCCCGTCATTATCGACCATTCACCACACCATCATCTGCATGGAATATATGCACACTCACTCACACGCACACATGCATAACACATCGTAATCATCATCACCATCACCGCCATCACCATAATAATCCCATCACAACCAGCAACACCATGTTCATCATCATCATCATAATCATCATAATCATCATCATCACCATCATCATCATCACCACCATCAATATTCAAGCATCATCAGCAGCGCCACTCGCTCACTCGCACACACTCAGCCACTAACATTCATCGTCATTGAACGTGCACCATCAGCAGCATCATCACCATCATCATCAAGATCATCACCACCATTATCATCATCATTACCATCATCATCATCTACATCGTCACCGTCATTGTCCGCATTTTAATCCGCATCCTTCTCTCCTCCTCGTCAGCATCATCATTACCAGCATCGTTACCATCATCGTTACCATCATCACCATCATCATCAGCGTCATCATGATGATTTTTATTCTCGTCACCATATTCATCATCACCGTCATCATCATCGTCACCATCATCATCATCATCATCATCATCGTCGTCGTCGTCGTCGTCGTCATCTTCATCACCGCCATCATCAGCGTCATCATCATCACCATAATCATCTGCTTCATACTCATGGCAATCATGGGCATCATCATCATCATCATCACCACCACCATCACCGTGACCATCATCACCAATCGCATCATCATTACCATCATCATCATCACAATCATCATCAGCAGCACCGTCATCATCATCACCAGCATCGTCACCACCATCACCATCATCATCATCATCATCATCATCATCATCATCATCGTCATCATCAACAGTCACCATCGTCAGCATCATCATCATCATCATCATCATCATCATCATCATCATCATCATCATCATCATCATCATCGCACGCACTTGCACGCTCACTCAATCATTCATACACTCATGCGGAGGAAGTCTCCAGCGGGAGCCTCGTCTGTGAGTGAGTTGCGGGGAGGTCTCAGGTGGGAGCCCCCTCCCTGTGTGGCCCCCACTGCATGTTATCAATCCGTGCGTGTCATCGGGAAGCTGCTATCGTCGTCATTTTTGAGCTTCTGCGGCCAGAACATGGAGGAATTCTTGAGCGGGAGCCTCGTCTGTGAGTGCATTATGAGGAAGTCTCAGGCGGGAGCCCTCCCCCCCCAATATGGGGCCCGCGCTTTACGTTTGCACTCCGAGCGGGTCATCGGAAACATGTGATTGTCGTCGCATTTGGGCTCCTGAGGATTGAATATGGAGGATGTCTCAGGCGGGGACCTCGTGTGTGAGTGACTCGTGAGGATGTCTCAGGCGGGAGCCCCTCACTTCTGCCACCCCCGCTTCATGTTCGTAGTTCGCGCGCGTTATCGGAAACCTGTAGCTGTAGTCACTTTGTGAATCTTGAGGCTTGGCTAGGGAGGCCTCGAGCGGGGGCCTCGTCTGCGAGTGAGTTGTGAGGAAGTCTCAGGCGGGAGCCTCTTCCCATGACCCCCCCGCTTCATGTTAGCAATTCGAGCGGGTCATCAGAAACTTGTAGGTGTCGTTATTTTTGGGCTTCCGGGGCTTGGCTATGGAGGAAGTCTCGAGCGGGAGCCTCGTTTGTGAGTGAAATGCGAGGAAGTCTCAGGCGGGATCTCCCCACTCCTTGAGGACCCCCCCACTTTCTGTTCGTATTCCGAGCAGGCCATCGGAAACCTGTAACGGTCGTCACTTTTGGGCTCCGGAGGCCCTAATCTGGAGGAAGTCTCGAGCGTCATTGAGTGACCAGGGAGGCAGTCTCAGGCAGTAACCCCCTCCTTATGTGGGGTCCCCCCCACATTCTGCTAGCAATCCGAGCGGGTCATCGGAAGCCTGTAACGGTCGTCACAGTTGGGCTCCCGAGGCCTGAATCTGGAGGAAGCCTCGAGCGGGAGCCTCGTATGTGAATGAATTGGTGAGGAGGTCACATGCGGGTGCCTCCCCTCCCTATGGGGCAGCAGCTTCATGTTGGTAACCCTCGCGAGTCATTAGAAACCCGTAGCCATTTTGGCTCAAGCCCGTGTCCGGGATTCCCCTTTCACACCCGTGTCCGAGAGCTGTCTATCTACAATTTCGTCTTCTCTCGTACCTCCCTTGTGGGCTGCGATGTCTTCTCCGGGTTCTCGCGCGCCAGGTACCCCTGTGCAACAGCTATTCAAGGCGGAGAGACACAACATCGCTTCACCGTCCTCTTCACCAGCAGCACCTGCATTCAAAACTGCTCGTGTCAGCAGCCCGTTGAACGAGAGGGATGTTGTGGACGTGGGAGCCCCAGATGCACAAGCACAAGCACGGCAAATTCAATTCCAAAGTAGTCTCATGGCCGCGTCAGAGCATGCACAACAGGGGCAGCAAGGACAGCATCTACCTCAGCCGCCCACCCTGGACCAGACGTGATCCGCCAGGAGGTGCAGCCTATCCGCAACACCATCGGCAGCCTCGAACGTCGCCTCAACGAGATCAGCGGGACCATCAACACCAGGATGGAGGAGGACATCAGCATTCGTATCACAAACCTCGAGAACTAATCCAACGAGCAGTCCGACACCCAAGCCACCCCTCGGAGCGTTGACACGGCCATCTGGGACCGCATCCAGTCGCTTGAGGTAGAGATCTCGCAATTGAAGGTGACGGGCAAACCACACCGCAATTCCGGTAACACATTTTCGCACAACGTTGGGGACAAGAGGCACGTTACTGCAGTGGTCGGCAACCTGTGCGGTTTTCACCTCCTTCAATGACGCTTCCAACTGGCTTAAGGCGGAGATTCTTAAATTGGGGGCACCAGCGTGCACAAATACCTACGTGAAGGGTGATTTCCCGGACATCATGTTCTGCGAGTTTGACCACGCAGAGGACCGGGACACTACTGTGGCGCAGGTACGCACTGCCAAGTTCAAGAGGAATGGGTGCACAGTTTGGTGCTCTTCGGACCGCCCCCCTCTTGCGAGCAGCTCGGAATTTGGCGTTGGGATTCAAGTAGTTCCCTCAGAAATCCACGAACATGGAATGGGCCATGCGAGTTACGGACGAAAACACCTACACTGTTGAGGTGGGCGGAGGGCATGCCCTCACAGTGACCATCGACGGGAACACAATCACAAAGGAGTGGGGCAAAGACTGGGACGCATAGAGAGAAATGCATGACCACCCTGAGTTCAAGAAGCTATTGGATCCATGTGATGGTTTAGTACAGCATGCCTGCAAGGGGATGAAAGGAGGCGCCAAGGGTGCATCCAAAGGCGCCGAAAAATAGGAAACGCGGCAGGTGCTGACTCGCAGCAGCGCGAAAGCCGATCAGCACTTATGGAACGATGCAGCTGTGACCTTTTCTTCATTGCAGACTTTTTCTGGTACCCTAGACGTTGACGACGCGACGGATGAGGACAACGTGTTCCCCGATGCTGCCTTTCCGCCTTCCTGCCAATAGGGGCCCTGCCAAGCATGCCTCCCAGACGCGGGCAAAGCTACCGAAACTGGGCGTGGTACCGCAGTTGTTCTCTCGAGTATGGAAGTTTCTGGGAGTCGTTGCGCTGATCATCCAGGCATGGGCAAATTTGCCAACTCCAGGATCGGTCATAGGGGAGCTCCCCAGATAATCACAGCATACCAACATACCATGTGCCCTTCCACCTTCTGCCCCCCCTTCTCCACCGCCAAGCTTTGCATCGAATGCGACGGTCGCCAGTTCCACAAACGTGGGGAAAGACGCCTTGCTTGCGCAATCATGCGGCGAAGTGTTACTATTATCTTGTTTCGCTGTGGCTTCCTCGTCTTTACATCGTCGCCGTTCTCCGTCTGCATTTGTGGACAAAGTCATGGAGGTGATCCTTTCCAACCCTACTCTACTGACAGCTATGCTTGGGGCAGACCGCGGTCCAGATGCAGAAGTTGCTTCCTGGGGCGGATTGGCACTTGGAGCGTTGAAGGCTTACGTTTCGATTCCATCATTAAAGTTGTGAAAGAGCGTGTTCTACCGCTGCTGGCGGAAAGCCGGGGGGGGTCACTACCGGTTCGAACCCCTCCCCCCCCCCCCATCCGGGAAACCGGGGGGGGTCACTGCCGGTTCGAACCCCTCCCCCCCCCCCAGCTCATCATGAAAAGGGGGGGGGTGTCACTACCGGTTCGAACCCCTCCCCCCCCCCCCTCGAAAACCGAGTGGGGGTGCGGACAGAGGTGGGGACGGTGTTGGTGGGACAGTGGTGAGGGGACAGCGGGACAGTGGCGGGGACAGTGGGACAGTGGGACAGTAGAGGGCAGGTAGTGGTGGGGACAGTGGTGGGGACAATGGTGGGAACAGGGGGGACAGTGGACAGTGGTGGGGACGGTGGTGGTGGGGACAGCGGTGTGGGCACAGTGGGAATGAGGTGGAAACAGTGGGACAGTGGTGGGTACAATGGTGGTGGGGACAAAGGTGAAG